GGGCCATTCTGCCTTCTATTCCGTGTGATCCGACGTTGCCTTACATTTCCCTCTAACCTGCAACCTGTTCGGATGCAAAATAACAAGAATCTTGTACTTTTTTTCAGGGTTTTTCTGCAAATTGTGGACCAAAGTTTGTTTATTAATTGTCTTAGTGTTGCAAGTTCTGATTTCCTTGCTTGGTGTGGGAGCTCTTGACTTGCCTAGCACTGAGTGTTTGGAAAAGTCTTAACTCTCTGTAGTTCCTCCCTGGACTCTCGAGGATGTGAATTATGCTGGAGAAGCGTGTGAGGTCCGAGCGGGGTCCGGCCGGGAATGTGCTACACTGGGTCCCCCCGAGGAGGGCAAGGCCCTGGTGGCTTTGGGTGAGCCGTGCTGGAGCCTGGGGGTCCCTGGGCAGTGGCTCACCCCTCCCTGCTGGAACACCCTCTGTTCCCTCGGGGGGCCCAGCCCTGCCCGGGGCCCCTGGCACCTCTCCGTGCCCAGCCTGGGCCCTGCCAGGTGTCCTGGGCAGGTGGGATGACCAGGCACGGCCGGTGCTCCCTTCGGATCCTGTGTTTGCATGTAAAGAATGTGAGTAACAAAGGGTGTACATATTTATAATTTTTTTATACCTGTTGTAAGACATGAGGGGCAGCAAAACCCATTTTTTTATGGTGACCAGATGTATTGTATATTTTGATAACAGCAATTCCAGGTTCAGTATTGTGGAAGGTGGGTGGGGAGGGGAAGCGTACACACCATCAGAATTCCATTGCCTCTTTCAAAGAATGTTTGTAATGCAAAAAGAATTGAAATTAAAACTATTTTCTAACAACCTTTGTACCTTTCTGTAGCTCCATTATTTCCTGTTGAGATTGTAGAAGCAGTTGGTGCCCAGTCTGTACTTGTGCTTTCAATAAATTCTTCTGTATCCTTCACTCCTGATCTTCCTCCTCTTTATTGTGCTTGTTTTGCTTCTGATTTTTCCTTCTCATGTAATTCCAGCTGCCTCATTTTGTATAACTTTGACTCTTCACACACTCGGGGCTGGCAGTGTGTGGAAGTGGATGGGATCTGGAGCCCTGAGGCTGTCGGGCCCCTCACTGATGCTCTGCTGTGTCATGCTCCAGCACTTTGTTACTTCATGTTCCTAAACTTTCCATACGTTCTGGCTAATATCCATGAAAAATAACCCACTTTGAGTCAAACCCTCCTCTCTCTAGTCCTGTGTCCTTGGGAGAGACAATCCACACCCTGAGCTGTGGCTCTGCTGTCCTTCTGGGCCGAGGCAGCATTAGGCTCCAGTGTATTCCACAGGCGTC